GCCAGGCGCGCCCTGTCCTCCCTCCCCGCGCTCTGGCCGTGGCCCGCCGGTGCGCTCCTCCTCCCTTCATCCGGGGCCCCGGGTCGTGCCTCCCGCCTCGCCTCGCCTCCTCACGCCTGATTTGGATTCACCCGTCCTCGATTCGCCGCCCGTTTAGGTCTAGAACCGCGCCCGATTTGGTTTCTGCTCGTGCTCGATTCGTCAGTTTGGAGTCGCGCCTGCTTTGATTTTGCTCGGCCTCGCTGTCGCGCGTTTGGGGTCGCCGTCCGTTTTGATTTTGCTCGCCGCCTTCGTCCGTTTGGAGTCGCCGTCCGGTTCGATTTTGCTCGTCGTCGCCGTCCGTGTGGAATCGCGTCCGGTTCAATTTTGCTCGCCCTCGCCGTCGTCCGTGTGGAGTCGCGTCCGATTCGATTTTTCTCGTCTCCGCCGTCGTCCGTGTAGAGTCGCGTCCGGTTCGATTTCGCTCGTCCTCGCCGTTGTCCCGATGCGCTCGCGTGTTCTTGGCCCGTCTCGCCTCGTCGGAGGTCTCCGTCTCGTTTGCGAACTAGCAATTCTTCCTTTCTGCGTGCGATTCTGTTATCCGAGAGGCACTCCGGGTCCTGGGTTCCGTGTTCGCGTCGGTTGCAGGAACGAACGAGGTCTGCTTTCGAAATTGGATTACGGCCGGAGACGGGGAGCGATGTTTGTTTATCGTGCTAGTTCAGACCGGTTCCTAGGTTACGTCACCTACGTTGCTCTCTTGTGATACTCTGTCAATTCTTGGCCCTCTGTCAGTTCTTGTTGGCCCTCTGTCAATTCTTGAGTTCCAGGGTCCGCTAATTCTTGAGTTCTTGTTGTACCGGTTAGGCCTTAGGCGTGTGTACTCTCATCTTAGATGGGGTGGTTCCTTAGTTCTGATGGTGTATACTATTTATGTTCTTTCCAATTTGTTTCTTTTTTTATCATGCTTTGCTTTGTTTTGCCTGTTGCTTGACTAATTGAACACCTGCTGCTTGACTAATTGAACACCTGCTGCTGCTACTGTTGGACAAAGGTTCCTTCTTTTCTTCCTGATGTTGCTCTTTCCATCGAAGTACTCATAGGAGTTCTAGATGAGCTGCTGCTAGTTAGTTCCCCTTAGACTACATTCTAGATTGCATAGCATAACTCAAGAATTTTGTCATTGCACACATGTGCACATATATATCTGTTGTGTTCATGACTCCAGAATTTATTTATCCATGAGAGCACGTTCATCACATGTTTATGCGCATGTTTATTTATCCATGAATTCTGTCGTGTCCCTTTCCTTTGGACAAAAATTTCAACAAACCTATAACGTGGACATGTGCTGCTTGTTTTCTTGTGATGATGGTGATCTAGTTGACTAGCCCAACTCTTATGCTCTGGCATTTGTTAATCCTCAGTTACCGTGCTTGAAAACTTATTGCTTGTCATGTTAAATTTTATGGCATCAACTCGGTATTGTGATAAGTGACCTAGTACTCCGTATTTGTTTAGTGTAGACAGCTAACTTCTTTTTTCTTATTTTTTTAGTGATATGCGTGTTCTGCTATGTCTTATGTTGATAGTATATTCTTTTTTTTGTATTACTCATGTTCAGTCACTGGAATAATGCTTTTCTTGATTTGCCTAGACTTTGTGACAATTAATTTATAGTGCGATCATTGAGTTTCTGACATCCTATTGCATAAAATTCTGTTGTAATGTTTGTTGGATCATTGAGTAGTTAATATTGATTCTGAGTTTGTTGGATCATTGAAATTCTACGTGCGCTTTTGTTATCTGAGAGACACTCACGATCCCGCATTTCGTGTTTGCGGCAGAGCGATGAACGATTACGTTTTGCGTTCCTGCATTTTGTGTCTGCCGTCTGGTTTTGAATTTGGATTATGGAGACGGGGAGAGGCCAGAGTAAGGTCAGTTTCAGATCGGTTCCGTCGCTGCGTTGTTCGTCGGTGATTTCCAGACCTCAAACGCATGCGTCCTTGTGATACTCTAGTTTGGCTCGTGGGTCGTTACAGTTGTTCTTACGTTCCCAATGTCTGTCTTCCCATATATGGGGATGCGTTCAGAGGTGCAAACCATGTAGGCCGTGGTGTGTTTATACTATCTATGGTGTGTTCTACACTATCTGATGTGGAACGTAGAAATATTGATATCACTTCTGTGCTAGTATACTAGATATGGTGTGTTTTATCCAAATTATTAACCACATCTCTTAAAATTTTCCTTGAGTTGGTACATGTTTATATGCCAAGAGTGATTGATGTCTTGACGAATATAATCATTTATGCTAACTTGGTATTGGTAGTTCCTGAGGTAACACACCAGTACTTGTTTACTGCAGACAATTGACTATTCTTTTTTCTGAACTTTTTTGTGATATGTGTGTTATGTGGATATCATATTCTAATGCTTTTCGAAGTATTTAAGGTACAGACTTGTGGATCTGGACATGTCACATTTGCTCTTTATTGGGTTGCTAAGGACACTGAACAGTTTGGCTGGGCCACTGCACGGCCTGGCTAATCAGGTACATTTAATTTTATGTGTAGTTGATGTTCTCTGCCACATCATGCTCAACTTGTGCTTGCCAAATGGATCTCCTGGAACAAATTGTTCGTAATAAATGAACAAATTGCAGAACTTGTGGCTGTGCTATTTACCCACTTGCTTTTGCACATGATGTTAAGAAGAAGAAAAACATACGCCCTGTTATTTTAAAATGGTGTATTTACTGTTTTGATGCGCATAAACTAAGAATAGTCACCATATACTACAGGAAGTGTTGCTATGGATCAAATCTGTAATGGAATAGACTGGGAGTAACATTACAACCGACCAAGTAAAGAATATGTATGGAAGACACTGAAGAGTGGAAAGGTATAGCTTATCTCAAACCGAGTTATATCTATTCAATTATCAAGCACTAATTATTGCTCAAGGACTATAGCTTTATAATACCTCATGATCTTGTTTGTGAGTAGAGAAAATAATGCAATATAGGGAATTACTGTTGCCACTCATTTCATGCTCACATCGGTTGCATTGTAGAAACCTAAAATATTTACGTATGGCTTCGTGCATCATTTCCCTCTTATGCATTGCATTTCAGAAATCTAAATATCTATGTCTTCTTTAGTGTTAATGTTTGGGAGTTCTTGTTGAAGTTGCAATTTATAATGTTTCATGGGTTTAAACTTTGTTGAGCTGCTGAAAACAGTCACTGAAATTAGCCATTAATGAGTAGTATGATTTCTATTTACTGCAATCATGTCAAAAGGTCTTGCTATTCATATTTCTAGGTATTAGCTACCATCAAAGTAAACAAAGATAGAATAAGTGTGCTCATTATAATTTTATGAAATACCTAGTATTGAAAGATTATGTAGATCGAAGCTGGTTAATTAATACCTGTAAAGAAAAATGTACAAAGAATGCCTGCATCATGCTTGTCATCTTGTGAAAGAAATCCTCCAGTGAATTTACTGTTGTTCCAGTGTCTTAATGTAAATCTCATAGAGAATGTTTATCTCTAGATTTGTTTCACTACCACAAATAACTGACATAATATATGTTTCTGTGGGCTTTGTAATTGACCTTGTTGTTATTATGTAAAAAAGTGCTGCAACATTCTTGATCTATAACTGTGCTGGCTATCTATACACAGGTTGTAGTGATTAGAGAGAAGCTTGCAGAACTGTATGAATCTGAACAACAATGGTTGAGAGCAGCACAAATGCTTAGTGGCATTGACTTGGACTCAGGAATCAGGTTGAAACAAGCTTTTGTCTCTGTTTACATGTCATTGGATTTTCTAAGTCTGGGAAATCTGACCATCTTCTTAAAAACCAGGATGCTTGATGACACAAACAAATTATCCAAGTGCGTCCAGATTGCACGACTCTATTTGGAGGTTAGTCCTGTTTTTAACCTTTGTCGTCATTGCATTGTCAGCTGGACTAATGTAGTTCTTCATTTCGTAGGATGGTGATGATGCAGTGAATGCTGAAGCCTTTATCAACAAAGCCTCGTTTTTGGTTACAAACAGCAACCAGGAAATTCTGAACTTACAATACAAGGTTTTTTGGTTCAGAAACAGTTTAATAATCTATCAGTATACAACTGAGGATAAAAATTTAGTTCCCTTCTTGTAGGTCTGCTATGCGAGAATTTTAGATCTAAAGCGTAAATTTTTGGAAGATGCACTTTGATACTATGGTATCTCTCAAATTGAGGAACACCAAATTGGGGATGAGTAAGGCTTACTCCATTCAGTCATAGATTTGTTTCTCTCTCCTGCAATTTACTCCTTTTTAATGTTCTGTCTTGTATGGTTCTTTGTTGCCTTGCCGGTGTAGTGGCTGTTTGTAATAAATTACCCTATTTGATACTCATGTTTAAGTACTGCAGTGGTTCTTTGATGCAGGCAAGTTGTGTTTGGAACTGATAGTGCCTCCATATTTTGTTCTCAAAAATCTTGATGGAACATGTTTCTTAGTGCTGCTGTATAACATGCACAATGTTGGCTGGTGCTGGCCCACAACGCTCTCGTGTTCTTGCTACATTGTACAAGGTATTGGCTCTTAGCTCATCTCAGTGTCCTGTGATTTTACTCCTTTTTTATCCAGCTTCTTATCATTAATTGCTTGAGTAACTTGTAACCATAATGATCGTCTTGTCTCTTGATCCTGTTTTGCCAATTAGAAACCATCAATGCAGTGCGGCTTTATGGAGTCGTGCCATTTATTTAGAGTTTTAGTCTCACTGGGTTAGGTTGTTACCACCTCCATTGCACGCACGCCCATTCTGAGATTTAACATTAACTATTGTTTATGATTTTATGGGAAGTTTGCACTGCTAAACTATTCTAGTTGAATCCTGAACAAGAGATCTAAGGTTGCTTTTCACTGTTGATCTTATTTGAACTTGCAAGCAAAAATTATAAATTACTGATGTTTGGTTGCATCCATAGGTTGTTCCTGGCTGTGGTCACGGAGTTCTACATAATACAGACCAAAAATATTCATGCCAAAGGGAATTCGCATTGAAATATTTACCCGAGGACCCACTTCCCCAACTGAATCCTTCATCTAACTGCATGGGTTCTCTTCGGTTCGACAGTCTCAGTGCAACATATTATTATTCCCTTTCAGGAACGAAGATCTGAATCACCCTCACCCCTCTAGAGAAATCAGTTTACTCATTCAAGTTCTGGAATTTCTTTATAGTTTTCTGAGTTACTTCGGTCTTGCATGTATTAGCTTTCTCTTTGTGCCCCTATCTATGCCTGTTTTGTGTGTGCAAGCGCTCCATTCTGTGTGGGCGTGTGACTTGATGGTGAATATGTGTGTGGCTTGACTCTCTGTGTGTGGCTTGATTATGTGTGTGGCTTGACTATGTGTGTGGGGCTTGACTGTGTGTGTGAGATTGTGTGTGGCTTGATGGTGAATATGTGTGTGGCTTGACTGTGTGTGTGTGTGTGTGTGTGGCTTGACTGTGTGTGTGGGGCTTGACTGTGTGTGGCTTGACTGTGTGTGAATATTGCATTTGCTTGATGGTGTGGCTTGTATAACTTGTGTTTTATATGTCACAATTGATTGTTGTTTATTGAATGTGAACAAACCTAACACTATTCTTTTTTTCTGAACTTTTTTGTGATTATGTCTTATGTGGATATCATATTCTTTTTTGTATTACTGCTGTCCAGTCACTAGAATAACACTTTTCTAAGTATTTATGGTACAGACATGTGGATCGGGACATGTCACATTGGCTCTTTGTTGTGTTGCTAAGGACACTGATGGGTTGTGTTTGCATACAACGCAGGTATATTTATGTTCTTTACATTTTGCGATGCTGATGCCTGAAGTCCCAAAACGTTTATTTAGTCAAATTTTGCTACTTGTGGCTACTTATGTTTTTAGATGTGTTGTATCCATAAATACCTATTGGCACCTGATATTTGTGCTCAAAATGCAGTCTGGACCAACAAAATGGTCTCATTGCCGCAAGCAATGTCAAGCAAGGTGGAAATAAATGGGCAGAAATAGCAAAAGTTCTTCCTAGAAGGTACTGCCAAACAACTTGCATCTGATAATGTAGCCTAGCCTTGGTCCTCTTTGTTACCAGATTCCTAGCCCCTGCCACTTCCTCATTCTTTCCTGGACATCATACCGTGTACCAGACATTTGAACATTGCAGGAATCGAGTATTTCTATTTGTTCTCAGGTTCTTCTCACCTATAGCTAGAGTCAAAGACGACAAACCAAGTGGATTATTGGACTTGCAAGATAAACAGAATCATCGGTAAGTTCCTGTCCTTTCAAATGGCCAGATTATGAATTTTGATCAGTTTGCCTGACTTGTTTTAGACTGAATCCTTGATTCCTTGATAACTTTGATATACATACATGAATAATTACTTATGCTGTTATGATCATAAACTAATTCCCAAGTATTTTTGACTCATATGATGCTTATTACATCACAGGTCATCTGAATCTTCTTTTCTAATATGACTATTGATGCTGCTCATGAGGTAAGCTACTTTTCTTGCTTCAAGAATAATAGAAACATCATTTACATTGTGGTCACTCACATTTTAAGTTGCTCATGTCATTTTAGGCTAGCCATCGGCTTGGAAGTGATGAGAGGCAATCACTGTTGTCAACTTGAAACATATAATCTTTTAGGTATGAATGGCTTACCTTAGCCAGAATTTCTATAAGAATGTTGCTCATGTTACATGCCTTGCTTTCTCTAGTAAGTAGAACAAGAACACATTTAACAGTTCTTTTCTGTCCATAGGCCTACAAACTTGTGGATAATCACTTAATCGGCCTCTAACCAGCTTCCTGTTTTTAGGAACGAAGATCTGAATCACCCTCACCCCTCGAGAGAAATGTGTTTAGTCATTCAGTTTCTGGAATTTCTATATAGCTTTCTGGTTTTCTTCAGTCTTATCTATGTATTTGCTTTGTGTTCGTGCCCTATCTATGTCTGTTTCTTTTTGTTTCTTGTGTGCAAGCGCTCCATTCTGTCTGTGTCTGACTGTGTGTGGCTTTGATTCTCTTGTGTGTGTGGCTTGACTGTCTGTGTGTGTTACTGTGTGTGAATGTTGCATTTGACTGTGATGTGTGACTCTGTGTGACTGTGTGTTTGACTCTCTGTGTGTGACTCTGAATATTGTGCATTTGACTGTGATGTGCGTGTGTGACTCTGAATATTGTGCATTTGACTGTGATGTGTGAATGTGTGTGTGACTGTGAATATTGCATTTTGACTATGACTGTGACTGTGTGTGTGAGATCGTGTGTGGCTTGACTCTCTGTGTGTGTGTGGCTTGTATGCTTTGCTGAATGGTTGGTTGTTGTGGCTTAACACTGCCTTTGCCGGTCCCAAGCCCGGATGTGAAAATATTGCATTTTGACTGTGAGACTGTGTGTGTGAGATCGTGTGTGGCTTGACTCTCTCTGTGTGTGTGGCTTGTATGCTTTGCTGAATGATTGGCTGTTGTGGCTTAACACTGCCTTTGCCGGTCCCAAGCCCGGATGTGAAAATGTGGAGGGAGTTTGTTTCTTGTGTGCAAGTGCTACACTGTGTGTGTGTGATGTGCCCATATCTATGTCTGTTTCTTTGTCTCGGTGTGTGTGTTGCATTTGCTTGATGGTGTGGCTTGTATGCTTTGCTGAATCATTGGTGTATCGTTGTGTTTTGTATTGTTGTGGTTTAACACTGCCTTTGCCGGTCCCAAGTCCGGATGCGAAAATGTGGAGGGAGCCACGGTTACCTCCTCTATATTGTTTGCCTTAGAAGTGTGGATAGAAATTGCTCTGTACTAACTGAATAGTGAATCTTCACATAATATGGTAGCACATGATTCAAGCTCTGAAATGATTGGTTGTTGGTATGCTTTGCTGAATGATTGGTTGTTGTGGCTTAACACTGCCTTTGCCGGTCCCAAGCCCGGATGTGAAAATATTGCATTTTGACTGTGAGACTGTGTGTGTGAGATCGTGTGTGGCTTGACTCTCTCTGTGTGTGTGGCTTGTATGCTTTGCTGAATGATTGGCTGTTGTGGCTTAACACTGCCTTTGCCGGTCCCAAGCCCGGATGTGAAAATGTGGAGGGAGTTTGTTTCTTGTGTGCAAGTGCTACACTGTGTGTGTGTGATGTGCCCATATCTATGTCTGTTTCTTTGTCTCGGTGTGTGTGTTGCATTTGCTTGATGGTGTGGCTTGTATGCTTTGCTGAATCATTGGTGTATCGTTGTGTTTTGTATTGTTGTGGTTTAACACTGCCTTTGCCGGTCCCAAGTCCGGATGCGAAAATGTGGAGGGAGCCACAGTTACCTCCTCTATATTGTTTGCCTTAGAAGTGTGGATAGAAATTGCTCTGTACTAACTGAATAGTGAATCTTCACATAATATGGTAGCACATGATTCAAGCTCTGAAATGCATCATTCCTTGCTATGAAAAATCTAGCAATTGTAATTGCTGTTAGAGTTTGTCTTGTCTCCTAAATTAATTTCACTGGTTTCTTAAATCTTGTTAGCACTGATGATCTTTTCTGCTAATAATCTGTCATCTGCTTTTGTTATTTGGCTTTAGGAAATTAATCTCCCTGGATTTTTAGATCTTATCAGCACCGATGATCTTTTCTGCTAATAATCAGTCATCTGCTTTTGTTATTTGGCTTTAGGTTGAATTTTGTGGCTGTCTGGTCATGCACGAATCTCAGTGTCGTAGGTGTCGCTCATTTGTCTGTCACTCGCGAGTGCGTGTCGGATTTATTTGTCGTTGGGCTTTTTATTCAGGTTGTGGGTCCTTGTTTGGACTCTGACCCGTGTAGGGGTGTCCTTGTTAGTTGTGTGCCATTTTCTAGAGGGGGTGAGCTGCTGACAGTGTGTGCGAGAGAGGGAGGGGGTGGGGAAGAGCTGACTTCGACGCACTCGTGCGTAGGTGACTTCGGCGCACGGCTTGTAAGGCACTGTGTAGGCCCTCTTTGATTCAAATCATCTTCGAGGAAGAGCAGGCACCTCATTCCCGTTCGAGAGCCAGAAAGCAATTCTCCTCAGTGTTTGAG